TGCTTGGAGAACAGCAGGCAAACAGGAGATGCAGACTGCAAGGGGAAATCTGGCATAGCAGGGTAGGCATTGGGAGGAAAGAGAAAGGAAAAGTTCTACCCCATATCCTTCAGAATAAGGGAAAAAAACTGAGGGTTTGTTATAGGCTGCTTAGATGGACAATTGTATTGTTTTCTTAATTAATAATTACAAAACACCCAATTTTTGTCACTGTAATTAACAACTACAGTAACACATACTTTACCCAGATGCTAGGGACTTAAAAAACTGAGGGTTTGTTATAGGCTGCTTAGATGGACAATTGTATTGTTTTCTTAATTAATAATTACAAAACACCCAATTTTTGTCACTGTAATTAACAACTACAGTAACACATACTTTACCCAGATGCTAGGGACTATACCTGACCTTTTCCTCCTCAAAAGTCTTATTTGAGGGTCTTTTCTCTGTATTATTACTGCAATTATGGCAAGAATTCGTAGCATCGCTATAAAACCATGGTCTGTGCACAGCATGCACAACTAACAATATTGGGTGTCCATGGAAACCTTTCTTGCCAATGGAGGTTGGGGACCTGGCTGGAAGATGTACAAGAATCAATACATTAAAATAGTGGAAGGGGTGTGTGTGTGGGTGTTTGTTTGTTTTTTGCTTAATGTTACTTCTGAACTTGACCAGTGAAATGGATTAACACCTGAATTTTATAAAACCTTTTAGGCTTTATTAAAAAACCCTTTAATTGCTATAATGAATGAGATTGCGCCTTAAGAAAGGAATTCAAGTGAATACTGAATCCCAAGCCAGGGAAGACGCTTCTCAGGGTCATATATACCAGTATCTCTACTTAACCACTATTTTAAGATACAGTCAATTATAATTGGAAGGAGATTAGATTAAAATATTGGTAAGTATATTGACTTACCAAAAGAGATTTATTGGAAATTAATGCATGTCATCAAAAATTAGGAGAGTACTGAATGTTATCTGTAAAGCATACAAAACTCATGATCAAACCGTTTATTGTCGTGGTACTTGTGCAGTCCCACGTGGATACTGCACATATGCAGATCTGCTACAGAAAGGTTTTTGAAGCTCAAAAACACAGAACTAAGTAGAATTGTTGGTAGTTGGTTTCTGGTTAAAGAGGAGACAGAGGTTCTACTAATGAACCTCTCTCAGCAGCTGCAGAGAGAGACCTGAGGGAGGGGTGCTCTACCCCTCATTAACATGCTGCAACAGGTGGGAAAACAGCACAGAGGAAGGAGATGGAGTGCCCTCAAGTGTTTTTGAGCTTCAAAAACCTCTACTCTGGAGGCCTGCATGTGAACAGTATCTATGTATGACTGCACAGGTGACCACTCGATGAACAATAGTCACAGATTATGTCAAGTTCAACCCGGGGGGGGGGTTAGATGCTAAAAAGGCGTTTGATAGAGCTGAACAGTTATATTTAACTAATGTTTGAGATCATTTCAGCCATAGAGAATAGCTTAAAGGCTGGATCTCCTCAGACCTCTGGAATGAGGAAGGTACTCGGGCTGTTGACATAATTGCTCCTAGGTACCCCTTCTGAGGTCTTAGTAGCACAGGCAACCTCTTGATTTACTGAGGGGCTGCAGGCTATGATAAGACAGGAGAGATGGCTAGTGAGACAGTAGAAAAACTCATGACAAATCAAACAAGACTCTGGCTAGAGCTCATTTTAAAGACTAATCGATGGTGGTGATGGAGCCAAAGATATAGTACTTCTCTGCCACCATTGTATCTGCCCATCATAGGCATGTAAATGGTCCAGAGAAATTATTACAGCTTTTGTATAAAATCTTTCCTTGTTCCATGATCGTGTGAACTTTTTACAGCAATCATTTTGGGTTTGTAACTGTTATCTTGGATTTGCTGTACCCTTGTATGTTTTGTAATTACAGATTGGGTAAGGAAGACTGCAAATGCCTATTTAAGAGGGATGTGGTTTCTCCTGCCCTGAAAGAGGTAGTGGTATGTCTACTATAAAAGAAATATAATCTGGACACAGGGGATTTTAATATTGTCCAGTCTCAGGCAGCAGTCACATGCACTAAATAATCCTCTTTCAGTGCACTTTCCAACTGGATTTTACTTGTGTGAACTGGCAAAATCCAGTTGGAAAGTGCATTGAAGGTGGATTATTTAGTGTGTGTGACTGCAGCCTCAAATGTAGCAGCCTTAAGC